GTAACGTCTTTCGTTTCTTGCCCTCACGAGCGTTATGGCACCTTTGACATTCGCGGGCGCTTTTATCAGCTGAACCTGGAATCTTGTACCAACCTTCAATTTCCAGCAACTTGCCACACGGGCCATCGCACTTTCGTGGTGGTGGTTTCTTGCCCTTGCGAGCCTTATGGCACTTTTGACATTCACGGGCGCCCTTATCAGCTGAACCTGGAATCTTGTACCACTTTCTAGTTTCCAGCAACCTGCTACACGGACCATCGCACTTTCGCTTTCGTAGCTTTGGGACCCGTTTTGCTGTTTGCTCAACTTCTGCTTGCTCGTCGCCTTCTAACTCTTTATCGGACTCGGGCTCGTCGTTATCTCCGGGCTCGTCGGCGTTGTCGGGTACATGGGCATGCTCGGATCCGTCGCGGGCTTGTCGCGGGCGTTTCGGGACTGGCTTTCGTGTGCGTGGTTGTCGAGCGACGATCTGGGTAGTCTATAGGAAAACATATGTTAGCATGGCGTTGCCGTGTAGGAAGCGCGTTGGACGAATGAGTACTTACGTCGGAAGCATCCGTGTCCACTCCCGGGGGGGTGTCTTCGCGGCCGCGCTTCCTGTCCATGGTCGTAAGCGTACCAGTTGGAAACGATCGGCGTGGGACAAGTCAATTTTGGGCGAAAGGGCCGAACCGAATCTATGTTTGTGTGGTGCTAGAAGAGCGCTAGCGCTTCACTAGACCCAAGGCGGATGAGGCAGTGCATCCTGGATCTGGATTGGACGGTCTAGCACACAAACACCACTCAAAAAAATTTAGTGTCAATCCGTGCGTGCGAGCCTTTCCAGTTCTATCATTTGACCGCGTTCCCCACTACAAGCCTCCCACCCCACATCCTAACAAGGTACCCAACGGCGTCTAGAATGTCTGCGACAACGATCCGTAGCCCGCTTGATCAGCTGTATTTCGACAGGTTCCACGCCGTGACCAACCTGTACAGCGCGGAGAAATACGAGGAGGCATACGCTGGCTGTCGGCGATATCTATTAGATGTACACACCCCGAAATGGCATCAAGCAGGCTTCCACCTTATGCTCGGCAACTCAGATGATTGCTATGTCGCACATGCGAAGCGCGCAGTAGAGCTCTACCAGTTCTTTGTCGGTAGAACAGACGAAGACTTGTCTGAAGCGCATATCGAACTACAGAAGAGGTCCTTATCAGGTAAGTTTTGACTGAACGGAGTGCATGTGAGACATACTAATTTCGTACTTCTACTTCTGCAGATGCTGAGTATGTCTATAAGCGAGCGCTAGAAGATCAAAAAAAAAGCCCAAGACGAAAAGGCTGAAGATGACGAACTCGAGCTTGTTGGAAGGGGTGAAGAAGACGACGATGCTCTGATGGCAGATCGCGAAGCTGAAGAGGATGACTATCATGCCCTAGAAGACGCACAGCCCATCTTGTACAGCGACGAAGAAGACATCGATACCAGTGACGAAGAAGACATTGATACCAGTGACGAAGATTCAGTGGATTCCGACACTGGCGTACCTGAGGGGGAGACACGAGAGGAAGCCCCCGTCGGTGCCAACATCTCCGACAACCACAAGGACGATCAAGGACGCGGACATGAGGTGGATCGCGAGGAGCAGGAGAGGGTAGAACTCGAGGAAAGTGCCAAGAACCTCGGTGTCGGCAAAACTCCCGGCTATTATCCAACCCCAAGCGCATCGCGGAATCCAACAGGAGACAGATCAGGATTACTACCGCTCACCCCAGGCCCTTCACGCCGTACGACTGAAGATGAGAAGAAGCCGTCAGAGGAGCAGGGTTAGGGTGTATTCCGGACCACGTCAGTAATGTAGTGTAATGTTTGGTACGAGCCCGCAATAGCGAAGATAGTCTAATCTAAAGATTGCGAACACGATGAGGCAGCTGCGCTGCCGTGGGTGGCCGCCGTGATTGATCTGCACCTTATAACATGCCCTACTATGGGCGTTCGCATTGCTTTTATTATCCGACAAGGCCATCTCTGATCTTGCATTACAAGAACCGAGAAACACGCCTTTGTATCATCGCTCGCTTGATTGCTCTTCATGCCTCGATTTCGCCGACGAATACTACTCCCCAGGTCTATGTTTGATATCCACTATTTGACCTGACTGAACAAATGGGCCCGGGGATGTCAGCGGAGAAGCCACGGTAACATCCGACGGCACTGCACGATATCCACACTCCCTCAAATGGACTCGCCGAGCCGCATGTGGACCAAACACATATCATGACTACACTTGAGCCTAGCGGCAGTTTGAGACGCTCACGATCCATAGATTTCACGTGGAGGGGCCAGTGCTGAGTAATTGATATCAGTAAGTATTAGCTAGGACTATCGAGTCTAGGTATATATATATATTTATACAAGAATTCCATCCAGTGGGTGAGTATTACCAGTGAACTCAATCATGTCGCCGACAAGGGAAGCCACTTTTTCTTATATGTAACAAAGGTGATAGACATGAGAGGGCGCTGTATCATTCATGCGCAAAAGACCAAACGCTATGCGAAATTCCAGCAATCTGGAGATGTTCATGCAACACAAGGAAAAATCGTCGCTAGAATCCAAAACGGGTGGAGCCTCAACTCAACCAGTTCTGCCATTGGCACCGGCAGCCGCCAGTCCCACCGTCGATGGGTCCGCTGACACTTCCTTGTCCCTGCGTGCCTTTGACAAGGTTGCCTCCGAACCCGCGGTCTTCAAACTGAAATGACTTCTTCGATTCTTCGTCTTCGATCGACCCATCGTCCTCCATCTCGTAGCAATAGAGGTTCTTTTTCGCTGGATCGCCGCCGTGACGGTCGATGGTGACGGTGACTGGGTACGGAAAGGTGCCTGGCCGCTTGAATACGTTCGAGTTGTCCGAAGCTGAACGCTGCAACAGTGTCTTGCTTTCTTTGCTGCGAGTCCAGATCTGCACCAGAAAACGTGTCTGTGAGTATGTACACCTCAGTTTGGCAGCGTCCTTTGTACTTCCTCCGTCGACATCTGCAGGGTTGCCGCCACGGTTGGTGCCGTTGATTTGCTTCAAGAAGATTGAACGGTCGAAATAGTTGTAGAAGCCATAGTGCTCATCATCTTTACCGCGATTGTATAATCGTAGTGGTTGCGCAGATGGAAAAGGCAACAAATTTGCAGGCGCAGCAGTTCCATCAGAAGCCAACATCGGTGGTGGGATCACTGCAGTGATGTTCGTTGGGTCGCTCGCATCGGCACGCTTCGTCATTCGCGACACGCTAACGGTGGGATCCTGTATGCTGATGAACAAGCCAGTGTCTTCGCCCTCAAAGGGTGCGGAATTTCCGTCTGTAGTTTGTCCTAGGAAACTCATATCGGTAGTTGATGGAGGCGCGGGAGAGGGCGAAGCTGCAGCACGTGCATGCAACAATGACCGAACAAAGGCACCGGCTGAGACTGGATTCATGGCTCTCTTTACGCGTTGAGACTTTGGTAGTTCAGCTGAACTTCCGTTTTCGAAGGTGATTTCGACTTTGAAGTTCGGCTGGTCGGGTTTGTTGGGCGCGACGGACTGCTGAAGTTCTTTCGGCAGCGCACAGCTCCACAACGTAGTTGGTGCAACACAACCACTCTCTTCCTCTACTGCCTCGGGTTGAGCGATGGTCAAGATACCGGTAGGTATGGGAGGGTAGTCTGTGAGGTTGAGCCACTGGCTACCGACGTCTGCGCTGGGTTGAGTCGGCGTTGGCTTGTTGTCATTGTTGTCGTTTCCCCTCCTTGTAAGTACTACAACTACGGGGATGATGATTGCCAGTAGTATGAGAAAGATCAGACAACAACAGCAACTCCAGAAACAGATACCTCTTTTCTTTTTCTTCCCCTTCTCAGCACCCTGGGGTTTTGAGCTTCTTTTCTTTCCGAACGGCCAAATACTCATCATATCGCAGACTTTGCGGTGCTTCTTTCCCCCTTTGAGGTTGGGAGAAGAAGCTTGTGAGCTGGAACGGCTGACGTTATCGTAGCTCCAGTGCGAGCTTTTTTGGGCGAACTTGGGTGGCGGAGCAAATACCGGCAAGCTCTGCTGCGAGGTGTTGGCATTTGTGGGTGGAGACGCTCCGCTCTTAACTTGCGGTGCTGGCGCTGACGTGTGCATATGCTGTGAAGGTGGTGGATAATTAGCGCGAACGGAGTAGCTGTCCGCAATTGGCCGCCTATCTTGCAACTCAATGTTGACGTTGATCTGTCGTGGCTCCTCGACCTGACGAGGCATCAAGACGGTTCCAATAGCCGCTGTACCCACAACTGGGGAAGCCGACATGGTAGAAAGAGGGGATGTGATACCCCGATGAGGGTCAGATGCTGGTTCTGGAGTTGGGTGGAACACCACCTTTTCTGAATCTCTCTGTGATGAGACACTGGAAACTGTAACCGCTGTGTTATCTGGACCTTTGGAAAGAGGGATCGACTCTTCTCTCTTGCGTGTACCATATTGGAGAGGTACTATCGGCACATCCGGTGTTCTATCGCCATCACGCCCGGGTTCGGTCCACGTCGACGATTTCGGTGTCATGACGAACGGGGTGGTAATGACATTCCACCATCCTTGTGATCGCCGTGGAGTGGGCACCATGGAAGTATCGATAGCCAAAGAGTTCTCCACAGTCCTCTCTCTTAGAGGTGTCTCATCCTCTTCGAAGACAGTACTGGTGGACATGATACGATCCTTCCTTTTAGAGTCATCGTCTTCCTCAAAGGCAGTCCCTGCTGAATCTAGGGTGTCGTTCCTGGCGTGACCAACCGCTCCTTGTGTATCTCTGGCAGTATCGGCGCCTGGTGCCTGTGACATACCAGCAGGTAAAGCCGGAACTGGAGGAACGTTGGAGTTCGCAAAGGTCGATTGGTAACGAGAGTAGATGCTGGGCGTGTAATCGGATTCTGTAAAGGGCGTATCTGGAGACCAAACCGACTTTACTGCTGCAGGAGTGATAATAATACTTGGGGTTACAAGAGTAGAGTCACTGCCAGCACGATGCCGACTGGCTTGAAGCGTACTAAAGTCGGAGATGCTGTCAGTCGGGACGGATATTCCAATTGGTATGCGTCGGTCCCAAGGCGAAATCTCCTGCCACGATTTGCTCCCTGGGGTCATGGAAATAGGGGTGTCAGCTTCGCTCCGGTCGATGCTAGGCTTCTTCCGATGTGTAGTGTCTGGTTGAGGTGTACCTTTGGTGATACCCAAGCCCTTGTTCCTGGTCGAAGACCGTCCTAAACCGAACCACGGCGACCTCCGAACAGACCCGGAGCCTCTCTCTGCTCCATGTGGAAACACCTGATGAGGTTCGGTGCCTCTATGCCTTGTGAAACTCGTATCAACAGTGATGCCAGGTTTCGCCGGCCTTCCCAGAAGCTCTCGCCTCCGACTTTTTTGCCTCGAGACGCGTCCTGTGAAGGATCGCGAGTTCTGTCTTGAAGTTACTCGCTGTGAGTCAACGTGGGTCTCGGTGTCGAAGGTTGATCTGTCCAGGTTCCGACTTTCCTCAAAGCCGTCATTGAAGTGTACCGATATCTGTTCGTCTGAATCGGTATGCGGGTCGTGTGCGTATGCTTCGCCATCCGTTTGGTATGCGGTATTAAATGTTGATCTCGAAAACGACGTAAGTGGTGGCTGCTGGCCGTACATGTCTCTCCTAGTGTAATTCATGGTTGACCTTGTCCGTCCGTGTCTTCCGTCCGTGGGCTACCAAGATTGAAGCAGGTGGGGGGACGACACAGCTGTGTCTTCAAAGAAGATCGCCGCGATAATGAATTGTCTCGATATAGGCCTAGTGCTGAAACTGAGACAGTTATGTGGCGGTGCTATTGTTCGTGCTATTGTGTAGATGTGTTGCGGGGCCCGAAATGTATTACGTGACCATAGAAAAACAAAATGAGGAAAACGGCATAAAGCAACAACGAGAACGGAAAAAGAGAGTGATGAAGAGGTACAGAGGACGGTAAAGGCGGATCAAAAGGAGAATGGTGAGGCTCTTGGTCGGACACGCGACCCCAGATCTTTACATGGCCGTCGATGGCCCTGCCGCCTACCAGGCAAACCACTGCCATACCGCATAGTGCATAGCTCCTTCACCTAGACTTTTTACTCTAGCCTCTAATCTGCCAGAACCGCCGGCCACGAATGGATGAGTCAAAGCGTGCTGGTCGCAACAGGCCTTGTCAACGGGTCCCGAGTGAAGGTGATTGGAGCCACCAGGTGGATCTGCTTCATATCGAGCGCCATGATTCCAGGCTTGAGGCTCAGTAACCGCCCTGGATTCGCTGGGCTGGAAATGTACAACACTATGCAAGATCTGAGACGCTCCAGAGGCATAGCTGGATGTCGTGTCTAGTGAATGCTGAGGTGAGCCAGTCAGAGGAGAGGACGAAGTAACTCAAGCGCCAGATCAATCAGGGCGGCCACCAACCGTTGGACGAGAAAGGCGCCGCCAAGATGGCGCTAGCTAGCCGTCAGTGCGGTCTGTATGCGCCGACCATTCCCCTGTCTACTCTTTGGTGGAAGGTTGTATAAATGTCGTTGGAATGCCCTTCCTGATCCCATGAGAAGGGAGTCAGTGGTGGCAAGGGCAAACTCACGGAGATTGAGTCAAAGGTGTTTGGCCAAACAGCTGTTTGGTGTTTTGAGTTCCATGTACCACCACTTTGTAGAAGCTGACCTGTAATCACTCACAAAGGCTCTGAGTTGCGCACACTCAGACAGTATAGCATGTAGTGACGTGCTTGTGTCTCTGCGATGTCTATGGCCAGGCGGCCATTGATTGCTCAAGGGTGTACAGTCTGGTCCGCCGAAGCTGCGACCACGCGTTCGCATCTATCCTATTAAGATATCCATAGACATGCAACCACACTGCAATCTGCCTGTAGTAGCTGAGGAACATCAGAAGCTGCATCTGGAGCTGGTAGGCGTACAATAACAACAACAACTCATGACCGCCGTTATTAAAGTCATCCGTATACCTGCTAGCGATGTCGGTTCAGCCATCCGAATACGAAGTATTAATATCACCACACGATGCCACGGCTGTCTATCAGCGCCATGCGCTGTCGTCCAGCCCCCATTGAGCGTCACAAACTCGTACATGGAGCATTCAATACGATAGTGGAATAGTTCGGGGTGAAGGCGAATCAGCATGAAAGTGCGGGCAAGACAGGGTGGAGATGTGAGCCAGCACTAGTTCCACTCCTTTTGGGTCCATGCCAAGCAGCGAACCTGAAGACCCAAATTGGTTTATCGCCAGCTCCTTTCCGACAACGAAGCCTTGACGAGCTGTAGTAGTATATCGTTTCCAGACTCTCGTTTTGCCCACAGCCAATTGAAGAGACGCGGTTTCGACGTTCCACGGCATCCTCCCCGACGCTCCCTTGCGCCCCCAGTGCAACCGCCTTGCTCCTGCCGTTCGAGGACTTGGGTACCATCCGCCAGCTGTCCTCAGTAATATCAGAGCTACCGTCGAACCACGTCGGCAACTGCAGCTGACCGTCTTATCGCCGCGAGCCACCCGCCGGCCTCCTTCCTTTTAATCCACGCGGCCCGTTGCACGCCGACAAAGTCACGCTGGCTTCCCAATCCTCCTTCTCCGCTTCCGCTGGCCAACGCAGGAGGCGCTCCTCCGCTGCACGGCAACTGCCGCCGAACAATATCAATCTTCCGGATAGTGCAGAGTCGCGAAGCAGGCTAGGCACAACCAGCGGTCTTCACGGCCGCTCGCTGGGCGAAGCCTTACCCTCAATTCCTGGCACCCCGGGCGCCTTCGAAATGTCAAGATCGCCTTCCCCACAGCCTGGGGGGTGGTCGAGTCCGGGCCTGAATGCTCCAGACTACAATGGCGGGCGCACCAGTCCATATGCGAATGGCTCTTCTTCACACAATGTCACCTGGGCATCCGCTCAAGCGCGGAGTGCTGAGGTCAAGGGATATCCCGCCTTCACCCCGAGAAACCAAGGTTTCTTTGGCAAGCACTTTCGCAGGATATCCACAAGCCTGCCCTTCAACCACGGCGACAAGGAGAAGCTAGGTCGCGGACGGCCCCAAAACAAAGTCATGCGCTTCCTGAATGCCATAGCCTGGACAGTATGGCGTCTGCGGAAGCGAGTCGCGTTGGTCTTGTTCGTTGTATTCTTCTTCATTTTCTACAATTCAAACACACGTAAGTTGTTATGCTCTCTGATTCCTCGTATGGCAACGGGTATTGACGACTGTAGCCTTACGTCGCATGTACAGACGGTCCGCATGGTTCGGCGGCGGCAGCAAATATGTCGTCATACTCGCAGCGAACCAAGGTGGAGGTGTTATGGAATGGAAGGGCCCCCGCGAGTGGGCCATCGAACGTGACAGTGTCAAGAACAAGAAGAAGTACACCAAGAACTGGGGCTACGAATTGGAAATCGTCGACATGAGCACCAAGAAGCGTTATGCGCACGAATGGAGAGAAAGCTGGGAGAAGGTTGACACCATTCGCAACGCTATGCGGAAATACCCACATGCTGAATGGTAAGTGTTCGGTGCATATCATGTCCGCAAAGCTAACGTGCGTCAGGTTCTGGTGGCTTGACACAAACACCTTCATCATGGAGCCGACCTACTCTCTCCAAAAGCACGTCTTCAAACAACTACAAGACGTGACATATCGCGACATCAACGTATACAATCCCCTCAACATCACACATCCTCTGACCGACGAATACCTCGACCCCGAAACACGCTCGCCCGTGGGAGATGGCAAGGTCGACTCTGTCAACATGTTGCTACCTCAGGACTGTGGTGGTTTCAACTTGGGCTCCTTCATGGTCAAACGAAGCGTGTGGACCGACAGACTGCTTGACATCTGGTGGGATCCTGTTGGCTACGAACAAAAGCACATGGAGTGGGAGCACAAAGAGCAGGATGCTTTTGAATACATGTACCAGAACCAGCCCTGGATTAGGCCCCATGTTGCCTTCATTCAGCAGCGCCAGATTATGAGTTTCCCACCAGGCGCGTGTGGCGAGAACGGCGACAACCCCGACATTCACTACCAAGAACAAGATCGTGACTTTTTGGTCAACATGGCTGGCTGCGAGTGGGGTCGCGACTGCTGGGCTGAGATGTACAAGTACCGCCAACTCAGCAACCACCTGAACCGTACACCTTGGGAGAAATTCAAGGACGGTATTTCAGACTTTTTCAAGAGTAGGACTAAGAAAGACGAGAAGAAGGATGAGAAGAAGAAGAACTAGGGCATTCATGAACTAAGGGGAGGCATGGTTTGGATGAACTGGAACGTATTTCTGACATATTTTGGATATCCTATAAGCTTGCGGTTCGGCTTATGATTTTGTTATAATACCCGCACGCATAGAGGGGGATGTACCGCAACGTGAGGTGGCATGATTTCTGCATGGATCGGAGTCGGTGTTCTGTGCCTGTACCATACGAAATTGACTTTCGGTGAGCTGGTATCGAGACGGACGATGTGCTTGCATTTTTATTCGTAGGAGTACTACTATTGTTGCAAGGTCCCCCCAGTTGTCTACACTAAGCATGTGAGATACTACAGACTTTAGTGGCAGTCTGCATGATCAAGAAGAGGCAGATCAAGCCGATGGTGGTGAGCCAGGATGTAAGGTATCTGGGGATGCGGTATCTCTTGTAAAAGGCCTATGTTCCCTTTCCATCCCCACCAAGAACGAGAAGAACAAAACATACGTGGCGCAGCTCGACTCGCTTGACATGCTGGATAATGACGTGATAGATGGCGTGTTGTAAACAAGCCTCGAGGTAAGTGGAGTAATACTGTATCTGAACGAGCATTCGTATGATCCTGCGTCGTGCGGATAGACAATGGTACGCGACCATGTCTTGCAGACGGCAGACCACAAGGTAGATAAGCTCAGAAGATACATGCGCATGTCTTGTACAAGGGCAGGTGAGCACGTCTAGACTCGCCAGCCTCAGACAGAAAGGGAGTGAGCGAGGCCTGATTCGTCCATTTCCCACACCTATCGCCAATGGTCATACGCCAGCGAGCACACGGGACACGGGGCCAGGAACGAACATTCGTCTACTTTCCTCATCTGCAACCCCGAGACAGCCTTCTTACACCGACTTGTCTGTCTTCCTCTTCTATCTCTCGCTTTCGGTCGTGTTCCTTCGTACCCCGCCCAGCGCGACAACCCCGATCTGCGCTTCTCTCCCTTCCCCAGAAACGTCATCACGCCTAGACCCTGGCCGTGCGCAAGTTGGGGAGCCAGTCTACATAGCGTCAGCTCGCTCGTGGCCTTAGTCTTATCTCCAACTGCGACTCGCAGCGACCCAGCGACAGGATCGGGTCGGCTTTCAGTTCCACTTCCTGTTTCTGGGCGCCGATAAGCTGTTTCAGAGCTGCGCTGGTCTTTCTTGCTTCCATCAGGATTCTTCAGCATCGCCAGTCCAAACAAAGAACCGAAGTCGGAACGGCCCTTGGGCTCCACTTGAGCGCATACTCCCCACGCCCGGTCAACCTAGGGTCCGAAGATATAAGGACTATCGCCGAAGGTCCAAGATTGCAGCGCTCTTGTTACGACTCGAGTTTCTGAGGTCAGGGTGCGATGCATGATCATCGTCCACCGCGAGCAGGCAGACAAACTATAGGAGCCGAAGATACGCACCATCAGGACCAAGCCATGCCTCCGTCGCGCCATATCGCTTCGTCCTCGAGGCAGCGCTCAGAAGGTATGATCCATCCCGTTTTCTACCCACATGCATCTGTCTA